TGGCCCAGAGCTGTCGCGGCCTCCCTTGGCTGACTGCGGCAGCCCGTATCATTTGCATCAGGCGCTCGTTGCAAAGGGTATCCAGGCCAGTCACCAGGCGTGCAAGACTTGGTGGGGCAAGTATCGGGTTGTGCCTGGCAAGGTCAGTATTTCTAGCGCCAAGGAGCTGGAGGAGCAGCACGGCTCTGCCATCCGCCACCTGGGCATCGAGTATAATACAGCATTCAAATTATGCGGGGCGCTTCGACAGTTGGATCCACCACTATATGTGCCAGATAGGGTCGCAACGGCGTGGCTACTGCAGTATTCTTCCAAAGAGACGCTTGTCAAAGTGCAGAACGCTGGCCATCTGGAGACCTGGTATGGAGAACGCATTCGCACAGACATGCCCGAGGGGACTACTGGCGGGGCCGTCTTGAAGCAGTGGCTCCCGGGACATTTATCTGTATCTGCTGACGCCAGGGTATGCCAGAAGTGGCTCAGCACGGAGTGGGGCGCCAAGGGAGCATTGAATACTGCCCAAGCTGTGGAGGAATGCATAGGCCAGCGTCTTCGACTCAATCAGTATCGGGAGAGCTTCGCCGACGAGGCCGCCGCGGAGGTCCTCTCGCAGCTTCTCTCGGAGAGCGATCCTCCCGTCGCTGTCAGCGGTATGGTTTTGAGGCAATGGCACGTGAAGTATCACCCTGACTCTGGACCTTTGCAGCATGACACGGCTGAAAAGCTCGACGCGGCACTTGGTGGCCACATGCGCGCGGTATATCCAGGGCTGAAGTACCATTCACGTGCATTCCGAGGTGGTATCAGGTCTGTCATACAGGCGCATGGCGAGCCTGGATGTATTTGTGGCAACACACACGGGATCCATGGGTATGGAGCCGCCATCTATGGCTCTGTGGAATGCCTCCGACGACGTCAAGGATGGTATCACCTATTTCCCGAAACAGGACCATTGGTGGCACATGCCAGTATGGCGTTCTTTCGGGCAGTCCGAGTATGGGAATGTCATGGATTACCAGGTGGATCTGGGTATGCCGGCGCACGTCCAGGGCGCCCTGGCGGCATTGGCGCCCCACGCACGCGCGGGCGATGCATCCGCGAGGAGGCGCATCGGCACCGCGCTTGGACACTTGGCCCCTGATGTATTGCTGGCAGGAGCCCAGCTGGCAGCATTGCGCCCGATCCGCGCCATCAGAGACAGGCGTATGCCAGAAGATGATGAGCACAGGGACTCGTCTCTTTAGTATGTCTCCAGAGCACGTATGTGTCCAGAGCCGCGGCGGGGAAAAGACGGTGGGTGGGCGTGCAAGCGCCGTTCCCGCCCCTCCTTCCTTTCTCCCTTCTCTCCTTTCCTCCTTGTCCTGCTCCTCCTCCTCCCCCTCCTCCTCCTCCGGCGGGGGGCATGAGGATCCGGCATCGCTGACAACCATCGGGACAACCATCGGGACCACCATCGGAACAACCATCGGGACAACCATCGGGACAATCATCGGGACAACGATCGGGGCAACCACGACCATCAGGACAACCATCGGGACAACCATCGGGACAACCATCGGGACAACGATCGGGACAACCATCGGGGCAACCATCGGGATAACCATAGGAACAACAATCGGGACAACCATCGGGACAATCATCGCGACAACCATCGGGACAACCACAACCAGCAGGACCTCCAACCAGAGAGAGCTACTCACGTGTATTTCGTAGACGAATGAGCCAGTATTGCACATTGAGGCCGGAACGACAACCACAGAACAAGAATGAGCATGTATCGTCTCACAACAACGGAAACAAGTCCTGTGGTATGCTGGCGCCACCCACGTGGTACCACTCAAAATAAGTGTCTTCGCTTGTGTGGTACAGAAACGGAAAAACGTCGTATCAGACGCTAGCGCCTCACCAGCCAAAGCAGTCCATATCATTGTAGGACCTACAGACAGTACCGGCGTCGTACTGGTTTACCGTGGTTTCCTATTCTAGCGTCAGGAACATGTTACCACGAAAAACCAGTACAGGTGTCCAGTGTTGGAACAGGGGGAAAAGTCGTATACTAAGCTAGCTTACAGAAAATGTTACCACAACAAGTCACTGTACCCATGCGCCAGTGTAGTAGCCAAGGTCGTCCGCAGGCCACGAAGTGAAGTGTCCGAACGTCATAGGGCGGGAAGCTGGGTGTGGGTGGTGGCGAAGAGTCGTTTGGAAATGTGGTAGAGCTTGAACCGGCCCCCCCACAAAGTGGGGGTATTGCCCGCCTCCTATGAAAACCCTGGCACTGGTGAGAACGGAGTGTCCCCACGTGCTAGTAATTGTTGTTGTTGTTGTTGTTGTCGCGTCCGTTGACCCGCGGCATGGGTTTCGGAAGTGCCTTGTATAGTCGCGGTATTGCCTTGCACGGTGGCGTTTCCTTGAAGGCGCGCCTTGCCGGCAGCTGCGCGCGTGAAGGCTGGCGAGCCATTGCTCGCATCGTGTCTGGTGCGAGCGCATTGCGTCGATGACCCCTTGGACGCGCGGGCCCCCTGTGTTACGCGCGAAGATGCGTCCACGGCTGTCCGTCACAATGCGCTGCACGTAGATAGCGTGCATAGAGGGCTCCTGGCGTACCTGAGCTGGGAAGTATATCTGCAAAGCGGCTTATATCTGCGGCGCGAGGCGGTGCACCCGCACCTCTTGTAGCCATCGCTGCGTCTGAATGTCTTCGTAGAGCGGGCAGACAAATTGGTTATTTCGAGTATTGGAGGCGGTGGGTGCACTGGTACGGCTGCCTTTGTTGTAGGTGGCCATGTGGTGTTAGCCTCGGTCTGTGGTATTGCAGGTGCGTTTGCGGTTGGGCTGTGGATGGTGCGGGTGGTCTTCGTAAGTGGAGGTGGCTTGTTGGTGAAGCAAGTGAATGGCAATGGTGGTGTTGTTTTGGTTGGTGGTGCATGCTTGGTCGGAGGTGGTGCAGGAGCTGCTGCCTGCCCGTGGGTGGTCTCGTTTGTAGTTGGGGGGCACAGTATAGGTGGTCGTTCCTTGGCAGGTGGCTCAGGCTTGGTTGGGGATGGATTAGGTTGTGCTGCTGGTCTGTCATCCGTCGTGTTGGCGGTTGGCGGAGTCTCCTCTTCACTTGTGTTGTAGTTGTTTGTTGGCGGCGCAGGCCTGGTAGCGCTGGGGGCTGTCGTTGGATTGCAGATTTGTTGTAGGAGTGCTGCTGTTTCGTACACGTTGGCCGCCCAGTCGTACTTCATCTTGTTGTCGATGCTGTGGCACGCGTGGAGCCACTGCGCTACCTTCTGCATTGCTGCGATACTGTTGCTGTCCAGTGGTGCTTGTCCACTTGTCATAAGTGTTTGGAAATGCTGACTGGTGGTAGTTACTGCTAGGCGGGATGCCGCGTTGCTGCGGCAGTAGCCCGCGAATGCGCCCATGTCGATTCCGCATCGGGATAAGGCCAGTCGCGTTGGAGGTTTGGGTGGTGGTAAAAAGGTGTCGGCGTGCACAGCGTCCTTAAGCTTGAGGTATTTGGTTTGTGTCGCGGGTGGTGGTCGCGGGTGGTGGTTGGAAAGTCGATAGTAGCGTTGCCCTCGAGTCGGTCGTAGTGGGGGATGTGGTAGGTAGTGGTTTCCGTCTTGGTGTACGAAGAGCTCGTTGTCGAATTTGTCAGACATCGCTCCGCACAGGTAGAAGTAGGTCGCCGTTGGGGAATGTGTACGTGTAAGTGTTGGTCCGTTCGTGGTAGTACAGCGCTTGGTGCCACCGATCGTCGCCATAGCCATCAGTATCCGCGTCGCTGGCGTTGTGATAGTATGCAGTCCATCCGCTCGGGCACTGCATGTCGTGGTATTTGTTCGGCTGCAACGAGGTGAGGTAGAACTTGCGTGTGTTTGCTGCCCCGCTCACCCTTGCCCATGGGTCGTCGTTGTCTAGGCTGGCGTCGGAGTCTGGTGTGTCATAGATCAAATCGGGTATGTTTGCCCAAGGATTATGTGGAGACTTGGGGTTGGTTGCTGCTGTGCCGCTGGCTGTTCTGGTGGCGTTGGTATTTGCGCTGGTGGGGGTTGCAGGTACTCGTAGGTGGCGTCGGGTCGTGTGTCGTTTTTTGGTCTTGAAAGTCAGGGTGGGCATCCGCTGCTGAGGTGGCGTCAATCGTGTACCCTGTGCAGATGAATCGTAGTACGTCCTCATGCTCGTAGTGTCTTCTCTCTATGTTGCGAGTCTCTGCGGGTTGGTTGGTTTTGTACAAAGTCCTGGTGTGGATGGCCGGCTGGAATGTCAGTAGGTATATTGAGTCCGCCACGCATTCTGATATGTAGGGGTGGTCTGAAGTTGAAGTATAGTCCGCTGGGGTTGGGCAGTTCGAACGTGGGTTGTCAGCGCATGAAATTGGGGTTGCGCTCGTTGTGGGTGATGTACATAAGACCTGGGCGGGTATGGGGAACAGGTGGTACAGTATGCGGGGCCACATGGGGTTATCAGACATCGGGGCGATCAGCTCGTAATGCGTTGGGGAGTTAGTCCCTGGTGATGGTCGGGTTTTACGCGTGCCGTACCAGCCCACTGGTTTAGTAGAATGCACTCGTAGTCTCATGGGTTCCTCCTCCTGCTCCTGTTCCTCTCCTCCTCCTCATTATTATTATCCGCCTCCTCCTCCTACGCCTCAGCCTCCGTCTCCACCTCCCCCGCCCCACTTTTACTCATCCTCCTCCTCGTTTTCTTTCTCCTTCTCCCCCTCCTTTTTCGGGGAAACGCATGGGTCCAAGCACGTGGATTAGCGACAGCACCTATCTCCATATCGACGCGCTCTGTCGCCAGATCAGGCGGCATTGGCTTCATGTTTCGCGCGTGGTTTTCCCGAACCGTGGATTTGGTGCCCCCGCGCCAGATCCACGGATCCTTCTATCCATGCTAACGCATGCCCAGTTTCCCTTATTTCTCCTCCTACTAGGTCTCTCGTGCCCATGTGTGATGCTCGCTTCCCCCGTGGCATCCGCTGCCCTGGGCCGCGGGGGGAGCGCGAGGAACGGAACGTGAGCCTGGAGCAGTTCGGGGGCGACGCCAGGCCGCCTGCGGGGACCTGGCACATATGCAGATTTCCACGGACACATATCTACACCGATATACCCCATGTACACACAGACATACATGCATGCATGCATACATACATTCATACATATGCACGTACATATTTACATACATACATACATACATACATACATACATACATACGTACATACATACATACATACAGACAGACAGACAGACAGACAGACAGACAGACAGACAGACAGACATACGTACATACATACGTACAGACATACATACATACATACACGCGTGCTTTTACCTAACAGCGAAGACTGATAGGTTTCTAGTGCGCTCAAAAGAGAGCATCTTGACTCCCCAAGGGGGTTTGCGCGGGTGCCGGGGAGGATCCGGGGACTCCCCAGAACACCATTCCCAGGCCTCAGTTTGAATGCCCGGAGCCAATTGTAAGCCATTTCGTGTTCTTCGTGTTCCCAGAACACCATTCCCAGGCTATATTTTGAATGCCTGGAGCCAACTGTAGGACACTTCGTGTTCTTCGCGTTCCCAGAACACCGCTCCCCGGCCATATTTTGAATGCCCGGAGCCAACTGTAGGCCACTTCGTGTTCTTCGTGTTCCCAGAACACCATTCCCAGGCCACATTTTGAATGCCCGGAGCCAACTGTAGGCCATTTCGTGTTCTTCGCGTTCCCAGAACACCACTCCTGTACCATATTCTGATTGCCCGGAGCCACTTGTGGGCCACTTCGTGATCTTCGTGCTCCCAGAACACCAGTCCTGTGCCATATTTTGAATGCCCGAGGTGAGGCAAGCTGAGGCCGAGGCAGGCTGAGGCCGAGGCAGGCTGAGGCTGAGGCTGAGGCACGCCGAGGCAGGCCGAGGCTGAGGCTGAGGCAGGTTGAGGTTGAGGCAGGCTGAGGCTGAGGCTGACGCAGGCTGAGGCCGAGGCAGGCTGAGGCTTCTCAACCGATGGCAGCACACTAAGTCTGTCTCGGGTGTAAGTGATTCGATTATCTGGATAATCTGGCAAAGGATACGCAACCTTTTCCTGTGACTCAGGGGCCCCTGAACATCAAACGGCAGCGGTACAACAACAATCGTAAGCTGTGCTAATAAACAATCCGACTGACACTTCATACACAAATTAGAAATTCAATAAAACATGGGTGATATTGACACGGGCGGAAAAGGAGCTAGCACAGATGCATTACAAATCACACTGCCTAAACTCAGGACTCCCCGGACGTTTACCAGGATATTCAAACTGCAAACTCAAACTAAAGCTGAAAATTCCAAGCTTTCGGGAACGAGACCGAAACAAAAACACGGATAAAACATCACTGTCACCGCAGGTCCCCTGCACAAGCCAGTCAGACTCGAATGTGAAACATACCGGCGGTCGCGTCAGCGACATATATCTCCTTAAGTATTACAGCACGCCGGGCGATCGGTCGATCTCACAGGACAAGCAGGTCCGCGCCTCGTGGGCGCTCGTCAAGGTGTGCATATCGATGCACATCAGCTCCTGCGGCAGCGCCGCCACGTCGCCATAGGCTGGGTCCCCGTCGTCTTCTTCTATCCGACAAAAGCTCCATGCGCGTACTCGGGCAGCTGGAACCTCGGCGTCTGCACGTCCTAGTTGTAGCGGCACCGAGACCGGCACATCATGTGGCGCACTTTCTTCTGGCTGGGCTGCTTGGTGTTCACACTTGTCGTCATCATCTCGGTCACCTCGGCGTAGCGCTTCTCCGTCTTGCTGGGGTGCGACTCGGTCTCTGGCTCCAGCGGCTTGATGTTTTTCTGTTCCGTGTCCGTGTTAATCCAGCGTGACCAGCAGGTGCCGACCCAGAATCCACAGCCAAAAGCCACGAGCATCGCCATCATGAATCCGAACATGGCCAGCTTCACCAGCAGGTTGTTCCAGTCATCGTTGATCGGTGGGTTGAACAGCTCGACGCCGCTGGGCGTATACTGTACCAACTCAGCTCCAGAGCCTGTCGCTCCAGTAGCCGCCAACGTAGCTGCCAAACGAGCTCCACTCGCGCCAAAATGGCGCGTCTTGGCCTTGGCCTTCGCCTTCGCCACGGGCTCCTTCTCGAAGGTGTCGAGAAACTCTTCTCCTGCCTGGTCCAGCTCCTTCTCGCGCTGCTCCATCGCGCGCTTGGCGAGCTTCTTGCCGGCCACGAAGTCGGGGTCGTAGCGCAAGGCATGAACTCCACAGCGCAACACATCTGCCGTCATCTGGCGCGCCGAAAGCTTGGTGAGTCCGTCCGCCATCTGCTGCCGGGCGTTCACCCATTTCCACCTAGCGTTGACCTCCGCCAGCTGCTCGTTCACAATCTTCACCTCGACGGCCGCCCTCTTCTCCGCGATGCTCAATCCCGCCGTAGCCGACCGCGAGGCGTCGTAGAGGCACTTAGCGTCTGTGATGAACGGCGACTCTCCGAGGTATGTCATGGCGGCGTCGTGTCCGAGGTCGGGCCTCAGACTCAGGGCCAAAAAGACCGTCACCCGCATCAGCGAGTCGGCTCCCACTGCCGCGGCCTACGCCTCAGCGGACAATGAGCTCCTGCACAGTCGCACCAGCTTCTTCGAGGCCCACTCCATGGCCACGAACGGCGCAGGGGTGCCGGCGTTGAGCTCGTCCTCGGGTCCGACGAAGATCTGATAGCCTCCTTTGGAACTTCCGTCAGGTCGGCTAGCCCAGCTCGCATCTGAGTAGCCTCCCACGCGCAATTCACTCCACGGCTTGTCGAAGCCGAAGTACAACCCCACGTCCGCGTTGGCCTTCAGGAACCGTAAATCCTTGTTCGCGCCCAGCAAGTCCTGCACCGTCGCGTGTCCAGTCGCCGCGGCTCTGAACGATACGATCGCCGCCGCGATGGTAACTCCTTGGGCTGCTGGCCACTGCAGCTGGCCGTTCAGGGTCCTGAAACTGGTGAGATCCTTCGGAGACAGCGCACTGGTGGGATCCGCCCGCCGGTGCTTCTCCACGGTGATAGGCTTCACCGCGTGCAGGTATTTTTCGAACTTGATGGTGACTGCGTAGGTGCTCCGGGGCTGCTCTACCACGCCGCCGGTGAAGACTAGACTCGGCCCGAACTCCCACTTGCCAAACTTGAACTTCTCGTTGAGCGCGCCCAGCCGCGCCTGGAAGCACTCGGCATCGTCCAGCTTGGCGCACAGGTCATCCTCGCAATTCACGTTCTTGCCGCAGCCGACGAAGTCGCCCACGCGCTTGCCGATCAGCCCGTCCACCAGTCTGGCCGTCGAAGCTGCGCGCGTCGAACGGGTCGTCCGAGGGTCGCGCGGCCCGCAAGGACAACAGCAAGCGATCCTCGCGCCAGCGGTTATTGGACCCGATCTCCCTCGTGACTTCGTCGGAGCGGTAGCGCCAGAGCTTGGGCGACCGCGGGCCCCCATAGCATGGCTTGATCATCTTGAGCAACTGTCCTGGTTGCAGGCCGATCTGGTGCACAAGCATCTCCCTCATCTCCTTCGTCGGGCTCGCGCACAGCTCGATGCCGCGAGCGCTGACGTCCTCGGCCTGCAAGAACGCGGACTTCACGTCCGCAGCGAACAGCCTCCACGTCCTCAAGGCCGCCCAGAGCATGACCGTGCGACGGCCGAGCCTGCTCAAAGTGGGCGCCTCCTTGTCGAGCCGGCCCTCGGCGACGTCGCTGTGCTTGAAGCCCTGGTAGAGCACTCGCGCGTTGGCCACTCGCTGCCCGTCCTTCACCTTCCACTTCAGCAGGAAGCGTAGCGGGCAGCACGCCGCTGGGCCCACCTCCGCCTCGTCGATGGGCCCCCAGCCGTCGTTCTTGTTGAACACCTCGAGGGCCTCCAGCTTCGCCGCGTAGAACTGCCCCCGCTCCTCGGACGTGAGCTCCCCCCCACGATGGCGGGAACCTTCCTCTTGAAAGCCAGCATGTATATCGTCTCGGTGGATTCCTCCAACGGCATCATCTCGTCGCCCACCTCCACGATGAGACACGACTCCTCCTGCTGAGGCGCGAGCCTGGCCCACGACATGCGGGCGCGTTTTGCCAATGGGATGCCGTCCAGCTTCTCAGCCTCCTCGATGCTCCTCTTGGCCATCGCCTCGATGTGGACTCTGCTCGGCCCCCTCGTCGCGTTGCCACGCTCCCGCGCAGCGCTGGCCCACGAAGGTGCAGGGTCTGGGGCCGCCTCCTCGCCAGCCTCGGCTGGCTGGGGGGCCTCGGGAGCTGCCGCGGCAGCCGCGCCACTCGGCTCCTCTCGTTCTTGTTCAGCTCGATCTCCAGCGCGGCGTCCCTGGGCGCCGGGCTGCTGCGCGCCCACGTCGCCCAGGGCGTCGTCGCACTGGGGCCGCTGGCCCCCCTCGGCGAGGTCACTGAAGCTGCAGGTTCCCTTGGTCCGCCTGAGCGCCCCCCTCAGCTTCTCGATGGTGCTGAGCGGGCTGTCGGGATCCTCGCGTCGTCCTTCTCGCTCTCGGGTCTCGCTCGGCAGCTCGGGGCGGAGCTGCTCCACCGTGCAGCGGTAGATCGTGCACCCGTGCGTGACCCACACCACCGACGCGTGCATCGCGTCGGCCTCGTTGACCTTCGATTCCACCGCCACCACCAGCGCCGGGCCATGCCAATGGCACTTCTCCAGGCCCGTCGACATCTCGGGTCGCCAGAAGTAGACCCATTCGCCGATTTGGCACTCGTGGCGCGTCGGCCTGCTGCGCGCCAACAGCGCAGCTCGCACAGCGCGAGAGCAGTTGGCCTCGATGAAAGCCGCCCCTGCCGCAGCGCGCCTGACCATCATCTCGCGCACCTCGCTCTTGGGGTCGACCAGCGCGGCCTGCTCCGCCAGGCCGAAGTCCTGGTCGCATAGAGCGCCAGGTACCTTGGGCTGTGCGCCCAGCACAAGCGTCGCGGGCGAATACCCGTGCACGTTGCGTAAGATGTTCCGCTGGCTGGCGGCCATCCCGAGCGCGGTCTTGAGCGTGTCGTCGGGAAACTGCAGGTGGCACTTGCTGAGCTGCCCCCTCCTGACCGCATGGTTGCGCCCCATGAGCCCAAGCTTGTGGTGCGCGCCCTTCGGGATCAGGTCGAGCGTGATGTTATGCTTGCTCATCCACTGGTGCATCCTTCTTGACGTGCGCGAGCCTGCCATGTCCACCCCCATGGCGTCGGGCTTGCCAGCCCAGCTGACCCACAACTTCTGAAACAGCTTCACCTCCTTCTTGAAAGTCTCCTGCGCGATCGGGTAATCCACTTCGTAGCGCGTGAACTCGCCCATCAGGGCCAAGATCTTTCGCTCCTTGTTCTTCCAGGTGACGTAGTAGACGTCGGTGTTCACGACCTCGTTGAACCGTTTAGCTTTCGGTAGTACAGCTACGCGCACTGCTCGCGGTCGCTGCCTGCTCAGGCAAACTTCACACTGGAAGAGCTTGGCGCACTGAATCCACTCTGCCGGGGCCTTCGCGCACTTCATGGCGGTTGCCAGCGCCGCGTTGGAGGGGTGGCCCAGGCTGATATGAGCGCGCTTGACCGCCCTGATCGTCGACACGTTGAAACGCTTCATCAGCTCTTGCATCACGTCAGTGTACTCGATGGCGTCGATATCCTTGGAGACCTCCTCGGCGGTGTTGGTATCCTCAATGTCGTCGGCCATGCCCTGATAGGCGATCAAGTAGGCCATCCTTCGCGCCATCGGTCTCGGGTAATTCTGAGCCTGCTGGGCGAGCTTGCCGCGTAGGACCACGTGCTCCTCGGCACAGCGGCACTGCATGTTCATGTGGTGTATGAACTCTTTGTTCGTGGACTGGAGTCGCGTAGGCTTCTGGCACGGCATGAGCTTGCCCTTGATCTCGAACTTCGCGCCCCGCCTGCACTGGTCGAGCCGGCAGTGGTATCCAGGTAGCTTCTGCCAGGTCTTGGTTTGCCAGTGTAGACCTTGCTACGGGCCTTCTTGGTGCTCCTCCGAAAGCTTCTCGTTGACATACTGCCAAGAGCACCAGACCTGCACGGGGGTGCGAAGAAGATGTCGTCGGGCTTCTCCTCCTCGGTCTTACTTAAGAAGCAGCGAATCACGCTGGGCTTGGAAAAGTCCCAGCCGTCGGCTTGCCTGAACTGGACCACCTTGACCTGCGGGAACTCCAGCAGCTCCTCCGACAAAGCCCTTTTGTCCACGAAGACCTTCCAGACCACGCGTTCGCGGGGTCCTCTGAGCGCATCCTTCATGTCGGTCTCCGCTTGCTCCAGGGCCAAGATCAGGTCTGAGTAGGCGTCCGCGCCCATGTCGGTGAGCCCCGCTTCCGCGGGCCCCTCGGTCGTCAGCGCCTCGTCGTCGCTGCCGATGTCGTCAAACTCCTTGATGGTCTCGAGGTAGTTGGCATCGGCATCTGGCACCGACGAGTCGCTGCCCTCGTCGGCGTCGCCCTTCACCGAGCTCCCCTCCGAGTCCTTGCCCGTCGAATCGTCGCCGCTTTCCTCGCCGCCCGTGGGAGCGCCCTCGTTCATGGCGTCATCCGCTTCCTTCCCGGCGCTGCCCAGCAGATCGATGATGAAGTGGCTTTCCTCGTCACGCTCGGACTTAATCCAACCCTTGTCGGGGAGATCCTCCACCATGAACGCACCTGCCCGGTAATCCTGGACGAGACCCCACTCCTCCATGCAGGGCCCGGCGATGAGCAGCGGCGCCCACCCCTCGACGAGGTGGATGGCGACCTGTTTCTTGACGCCGAACGGCCACACCCTCAACGCCACTGCCTTCTTAGCCTCCAGCGTCTTCCCGTCTCCGAACCTAAACCGTCGGTCGCTCTTGTCATACATGACCTCGTGCAGCAACTGCTTCACGCGCAGCAGCTCCTCCCACTGCGCCCAGACCTCGTCGCCCATGACGGGCCGCGTTGCGCCTCCGTCACTGATGCCCCTGCCGACGGTCAGCAGGGACACCTTCTCGGTCGAATTCGCGTACTCCAGCGTCTCGATGTCTTCGACCACGTTGCCTGACTCGGTCTCTGTCCCGGCGAACCCGCCGTGACGAAACATCTTGAACCTCGGGCCGTGCTGCTGCGTCGAGCCTGTCCCGGTCGATCCCGCACTCGACGCAGCCTGAGGGCGGGCGAACGGGGCCTTCGGGAACTTGAGCGCTGGGGGATCTCGTCGTGGCTGACTTGATCCTCTGCCTTTGCCTTTGCCTTCCCCGCGCCCGCGTCCCTTGCCTTTGCCTGGCGCTCGAGCGGGTCGCGCCTCACGCTGGTAATTGTTGTCCAGCGCCACGGCGACGATCGGGCAAAAGCCTCGGGACTTCGCGATCTCAGCCACGCGCTTCTTTGCATCCACGAAACTCTGGTAGGCCTCGTCGCACGCGAGCTGAGCGTCCTCGACATCCTGCGGCAACTCCTCTGCGATCTCGGCCTCCTCGTCTGCGTCCTCGTACTCGTACTCGTCTTCGTCGTCGTACTCTCTTCCTCCTCCAGGTACGTGCCTTCGTAGCTCAGGCCTCGCTCCCACTCGTAGTCGTCCGTGTAATGAGCATCGTCCTTGGTGTTCTGTCCGAGCAGCATCTTCTCAACTCGTTTGATATCGCGCTTGTCGGGCAGACCTTCGGCTCCGCACGTGTCGAGTAGAGCTTTCTTCACTTTTTGCCAGCCGAGGCCGTCTACGCATTGACTCCGAACCTTGGCGGCACCCGATGGCGGGCTCGCCGCTCTCGCGAGGAGGTGCCAGCCCGCCAGCATGTCTGGGATCTCCATGCCTACTTCCTTCAGCTTCCTGAGGTCGCGCTGATGGCGCAGGCAGTACAACTTCATCGACTCCTTGTCCTGGCGGGCGAACCTGCCGAAAAACTGATCTGTCCGGGCTGGCAACTCAGTCTGGTTGTCGTACTTGTAGTACTCGTCCAAGACCTTGAACAGCGGCCTGAAGGCGTCGTCTGTCTCCAGCAGGTCCAGGTATATCTCCTCCGTAGCCTCTGCCGCCTCTCCTTGCAGCGAGTTTATGACCAGGAAAGCCCCCTCGCTGATGGCGGTCGTGCCGCGCTTGCGGCAACATCTCTCGAAGACCTCCAGCTTGCGTCTGAAAACTCTGTAGCCGTCGGTCTTCAGCAACTCGTAGCTCGGTGCTGTCTTGGACAGGCCTGCGTCAAGGCCTCTTCCCCCGTCCCAGGCCGAGCTTTCCTGGCGCCACCACCCTCCGCCTGTCCAGCCAGCCCACTCCTCAGCGTAGGCGGCCTCGTCGCCCTCGCTGGCGGGGACTCGAGTGGTCACGGCAGCAGGGTCCACGCCGCTGGCGGCCGAAGCGGCAGCGGCGGCAGGCGGCGGGGTGCCCGGCGGCTTCGCCTGCGGCGGACTTGGCGGCTTCGCCGGTCCCCGGGGCGGCGCCTCGTCGGCGGGCATGGCGGCGGAGACGGGGAAGCCGGAGATAGGTGTGGATCCCCGGCTCCGCTACCAATCCCAACCGATGGCAGCACACTAAGTCTGTCTCGGGTGTGTAAGTGATTCGATTATCTTGATAATCTGGTAAAGGATACGCAACCTTTTCCTGTGACTCAGGGGCCCCTGAACATCAAACGGCAGCGGTACAACAATAACCGTAAACTGTGCTAACAAACAATCCAACTGACACTGCATACACAAATGATAAACTCAATAAAACATGGGTGATATTGACAAGGCTGAGGCTGAGGCAGGCTGAGGCTGAGGCAGGCTGAGACTGAGGCTGAGGCAGGCTGAGGCTGAGGCTGATGCAGGCTGAGGCTGAGAGGCTGGCTGAGGCTGAGGCTGAGGCTGAGGCTGAGGCAGGCTGAGGCTGAGGCTGAGGCTGAGGCTGAGGCTGAGGCTGAGGCTGATGAGGCAGGCTGAGGCTGAGAGGCTGACGCTGAGGCTGAGGCAGGCTGAGGCTGAGGCTGAGGCCGAGGCAGGCTGAGGCTGAGGCTGAGGCAAGCCGAGGCAGGCTGAGGCTGAGGCTGAGGCTGAGGCTGAGGCTGAGGCTGAGGCTGAGACAGGCTGAGACTGAGGCAGGCTGAGGCTGAGGCAGGCTGAGGCTGAGGCTGAGGCAGGCGGAGGCTGAGGCTGAGGCCGAGGCAGGCTGAGGCTGAGGCCGAGGCAGGCTGAGGCTGAGGCTGAGGCTGATGCTGAGGCAGGCTGACGGTGAGACAGGCTGAGGCTGAGGCGGAGGCAGGCTGAGTCTGAGGCAGGCTGAGGCTGAGGCCGAGGCAGGCTCAGGCCGAGACAGGCTGAGGCTGAGACTGAGGCTGAGGCTGAGGATGAGGCCGAGGCAGGCCGAAGCTGAGACAAGGTGAGGCTGAATGGGGGGGGGGAAGGGGGGGGGGAGGAGGGGAGGCTGAGGCAGGCTGAGGCCGAGGCAGGCTGAGGCCGAGGCAGGCTGAGGCTGAGGCTGAGGCAAGCCGAGGCAGGCTGAGGCTGAGGCTGAGGCTGAGGCTGAGGCTGAGGCAGGCTGAGGCTGAGGCAGGCTGAGGCTGAGGCTGAGGCTGAGGCTGACGCAGGCTGAGGCCGAGGCAGGCTGAGGCTGAGGCTGAGGCAGGCTGAGGCTGAGGCTGAAACTGAGGCAGGCTGAGGCATCCGTAGGAATCCATAGGAATCCTTAGGAATCCCTAGGAATCCTCAGGAATCCGTAGGCATCCTTAGGAATCCGTAGGCATAGTTAAGCATCCTCAGGAATCCTTAGGAACCCCTAGGAATCCCTAGGAACCAGGATTCCTAATGATTCCGAAGGTTTCCTATGGATTCCTATTGATTCCTACGGATGCCTTAGGAATCCCTAGGAATCCTTAGGATTCCAGTGGATCCTAAGGCCGGTGCCACTGCGACTGTCATTGCGAATGCGACTGCGACTGCGAGAACAGCAGAATTCTACAACTGGATTATCACCTGATTCTTAAGGGGAATGCTTCCAGATATGCTTATACACATCGCTGTTAGGTTGCTTTGCCGGGATAAGTATTCGCCATCGTGGACCCCACAAAGCGTATCCATAGCAGCACACGTTGCGCAATAAGTGTGGAGCAAGTTATGTGGTGCAATGGACTTGGTGCAACATACACGGTGCAGCGTATGTTGTGCAGTTTGCGTAGTGCTATATATGTGGTACAATATGTGTGGAGCAACGTAGATGGTGCTGTCCAGGTGGTGCAACACATGCTGTGCTATACACGTTGCGCAATTTACTCGAACCAAAAGTTGATGCGATCTATTTGTCGGGGATGGGCAGAACCCCAACAGTGACACGTCGATTAGTGAATTGTCCGTTTTCGGTTCTCGATAGGGCGCCGTGGCCGTTATTTTCCAGGCTTGCGCCCGCCAGGTTTGGGCCTCAGGTCGTTTTCACTAAACCACGTTTTACTAAAGGGGGGTCTGTCCATCCCCGAATTTGGTGCGTATTACATACATATATACATATATGCTGCAACTGGCGCAATGCAATATATGGTGCAGTCATTGATATACTGCGTATGTAGTGCATTTTGTTTTCTGCTCATATCTACACACATGTGTATATATATATATTAATATATATATATATATATATATATATATACATATAACGGCGCACCGGGTCCGGGGGCCCGGGGCCGGGACCTCGACCGCAAATGTGGGCTCCGGGGGGCCCGGAGGCTCGTCGGGGCTTGCCGGAGGCCTCCCCGGTCAGACAAGACGGCCCCAGGAGCGCCCAAGACGGCCCAAGAAACTTCCAAGAGGCCTCCAAGAGGGCTCCGAGATGCTGAAGATGGCCTCCAGACGTCCAAGGACGCCCCCAAGAGGCCCCAAGAAGCCTCCAACATGCGTCCCAAGAGGGCCCCTAGACGCAAAAATTGCCCATTCCCTTCGTAAAACGTACATTTTCAACAAAGTTGTCTTTTGGGCTTTCCGACGTTACAGGACGGCCCAAGAGGCGCCCAAGACCGCCCCAAGACGGCCCAAGAAGCTTCCAAGAGGGCCCCAGGACAGCCCAAGAGGGCCCCAAGACGGCCCAAGAGGCGCCCAAGATGGCCCAAGAGGGCCCCAAGACGGGCCCAAGAGGGGGCCCAGAGGGGGACCACGAACCGCAAGCTCGAGCCTTCCGCCCCAAGAGGCCGCCAGGAGGCCCCCAGGAGGCCCCTCAAGAGGCCCCAGGAGACCCCAGACGTCCAAGGACGCCCCCAAGACGCCCCAAGAAGCCTCCAACATGCGTCCCAAGAGGGCCCCTAGACGCAAAAATTGACCCATTCCCTTCGTAAAACGTACATTTTCCACAAAGTCGCCTTTTGGGCTTTCCGACGTTACAGGACGGCCCAAGAGGCGCCCAAGACCGCCCTAAGACGGCCCAAGAAGCTTCCAAGAGGGCCCCAGGACAGCCCAAGAGGGCCCCAAGACGGCCCAAGAGGCGCCCAAGATGGCCCAAGAGGGCCCCAAGACGGGCCCAAGAGGGGGCCCAGAGGGGGACCACGAACCGCAAGCTCGAGCCTTCCGCCCCAAGAGGCCGCCAGGAGGCCCCCAGGAGGCCCCTCAAGAGGCCCCAGGAGACCCCAGACGTCCAAGGACGCCCCCACGACGCTTCGCGTCACCAATTTCTTCTCACAACGATTCCTGGGTCTGTGACTCGACAGAACCTAAGCGCGCGCGAAGCGCGCGCGTGGTTCTAGTATAAATGTGTGTGTAAACAAATGAATACATACATATATATATATATATATATATATATATATATATATATATATATACACATACATACATACATACATACATACATATAGATATGCCACCGCGTGCCAACACGAAAATGTATATTGTTCCTTGCCCGGCGTTTGCGGTCACTTGGATTCAGGCCCCCTGCCGGTTTCAGAATAACGGTTGGGCGTTGAAGTTGGCTTTCGGGCCTGCGCCCTCGACGCCGCATTGCGGCGGACACGAGGAGAGTATCTTTCCTGGCGTTTGCCATGCCAACGCGCAAGAGGAAGGCAGACGGAACCGGGGCGGAGGACCGCGGAGAAAGGGCGAAAGCGAGAGGCAGCGTTCCGCACGACCCGGGACGGGAGCCAGACCGCCAGGCGGGCCGGGCCTCCCTGTCGCCGAGCTCGGAGCCTAGCGACGATCATTGAGATCACGCCCAAGGCGAAGTCGACGCCTGTGGTCATGGACGGAGGCCGACGGCACAGCCAGGTTCGCGGGCGGCCACGCCATCGCGACCATTTCTGCCAGGTGACAGTATTGCGAGGACGACTACGGATTGGTCTCATGCTTCGTTCTGGCTTATGAGAACGGTGAGACGCACGTCTTCAAGAACGCGAGCACAATTGTCGCAATCGAGCACGTCGCCAAGGCCATTGGCGGCGAGTTCCCGCGGACGTTCATTGACAGAATCCCAGACCTTTCCCGCCCATGCGAGTACATCTGTTTCAGGTGTCACGGGAGCAAGCAGCACAGCGACGCGGAGTTCAGGACAAAGCGCGGGGCCGAAAGCCTGAATTCCAGGCCGTTCAATTTAAAGAGCAAGCAGAAGAAGGAGTCGCCGACGCAGCAGACCAAGACCATCGAGTTCGCCATGGAAGCGGAGCTCGGGAAGCACAAGGATAGTCCAGTGGTCCCGCACGTCAACCTGGCCAAGGCTTACGAGGCCATCCTGCAGGATGGGCGTTTGGGAGCTGCGGCAGACTTCACGATTGCTTCCGGCGGGGACAACTATCGGAGGTGAGGGGGTGAGATCGAAGTGGAACGGAGAGCCCCCCTACCGGGAAATCGATTTCGGTTTCGTGTTCGTGCGTGCTGTGCTTGCGGGCGAGGCGAAGCTGCGTGGGCGGGCGAGAAAAAAATCTCCTGTTGCTGAGGCGCGGCCGGACCAAATGTTTCTCTTCCGGGCGGCCAGTGCTGCGCGGTGTCCCGCCGGTGTCCCGCTGCTGTCCCGTGTGGCTGAGGCGCGGCCGGACCAAATGTTTCTCTTCCGGGCGGCCGGCGCGGCGCGGTGTCCCGCCGGTGCCCCACCGGTGTCCCGTCGATGTCCCGCCAGTGTCCCGATGATGATGTTGATGATGATTAGAATGATGATTATGATGATGGTGATGATGATGATGATGGTGATGATGATGGTGATGATGATGTTGATGTTGATGTTGTCGATGATGATGATGGTGATGACGTTGATTTGAGAGCGGTTGTGATATCGATAGTGAAATTGATAGTGAGACCGAATGTGATATCGATTGTGAGATCGATTGTGAGATGGATTGTGAGATCGATAGTCAGATCAATTGTGAGATAGATCGAGTGAGATCGATTGTGAGATCGATCGAGGGAGATCGATCGAGCGAGACCGATACTGAGATCGATAGTGAGATCGATAGTGAGACCGATCGAGTGAGACGCCGGTTCCTCCCCCCCCCGAACCTCCTTATCACCCCAAGGGTGGTCGTATAGGTATAATGCACGTGTGCCCGCACTGCCAGACGGCCCCCTCCAGCCGAAGGAGCGGGCGCACTGCGCGGCGCCAACGCAATTGGGCGAGCCAGGGGGCACCACCACCGGAGGCCACTGGAGGCGCGCGAACGAGAGGCGCGGCCGCAGGAGGTCGGAGAAGGGCACCGACGCGCAGGAGAACCGCGCCATCACATTTTCCTCGCGTTCCGTCGTCGAGAAATGGCGGCGTGGAATTGCCCGGCGACGGGGAGGCGAAGCAGATCGAGCAGACCCAGGAGAACAGCCCAGGGGGCCAGGCGGAGATGGTCGATTTCGGCCACGGCACCTTGGCGCAGGAGGGCGCCCTGACGGTTCTGAGGGCGGCCAAGCTGGCGCCCACCTTCGCCACCATGACAGGGGAAGAGATCCCTCGGGGCGGGCCGTGCGCCATCGACTCCAGCAACGAGGAGGCCTACAACAGAATATCATCAAGCGCGTGCCCACGTTTTCGGAGGGGGGGATCGCCGCGGACACGCTCGGGGATCTGCAGGCCCGCGCCCACCGCGAGGACTCGCGCCTCTCCCAGGACAAGTTCACCGGCAACAACGGCGCCCTTCGCCCACCCAGTAAGTGTCCCATGCTGAGCAATGCAGATCGCGACAGAGCGATCGACCGTCTGTTCCAGTTCCTCAGCGCCTCGGGCTCCACGGGCAACCCGCAGACAGCCAAGACGGGCAAGACGAATGGCAACTGGCGCCGCGGGGGCGAGCGCGCGACCGCCGGCGGCTGGCCATAGAAGACATGATCGAGCGCAACAGCAAGCTCCACTCAAAAGATCGGCGCAGCTCGACGCGGCGCTCGGGAAGCGGCAGCGGCGGCGCCCCAGACGGCGGGCCAGGGCGGGGCGCCGCCATCACTGCACAAAGACAATGGCCGACACGCAGCCAACGACAGCGACCACCGCGAGGCGCGCGCGGCGCAGAGCAAGCGCTCGCATTTCCGACGCGGGGCCCCGCGCGACATGTCGGGGCGGAGGCCTCGCCCGCGGGTGGGCGCGCGAGGCGGGCGCAGAGCGCGCCAGAAGCGGCGACCGCCCCGCGCTTAGCCCCCGCGCCAGCGTCGGGGGCGGGCGGACTACGCCCAGCTGAAAAGCGCACGCACCCTGTTCTTCGGCCTCGCTGGAGCCCAGGGGGCGCGCCCACGGGGTGGCCCCGAATCCCCGCCGATTAGCAGGCGCCCGCCCACCTCGACGGCGCCCGCCCATTCGCGCGCGCCCCCTTTCCGCCGCGGGCGGCGGGAAGGCCCTCGACGGGGGAACGCGCCCTCGCGGCAGGGATTGGTCCTGCGGAGGGCAGGCAGGGCTTCTGGGCCACGATCAGCCCCCCCTTCGTCTGTCTGGTCGTCGCGCGGTCAAGACTGCAGCATCGCCGCGCGACCCCCCCGCTCGCGCCTGCCAGCGCGCCAACGGGGCGGCCCGAACCCCCGTCGACCGGCGGGCGCCCCCCCGCCGCGAAGGCGCCCGCCTTGTCGCGCACCCTCCCCATCCGCGGCGGGCGGGGAGGAGGCGCTCGACGGGGGGGGCGGGCCCCGCAAGAGGCAGCCGGAGCCCTGGGACCACGCGCGCTTCCTATCAGTCTGGTTGCAGCACGGCCTGGACAGAAGGGTCGCCGCGAGCCTCGCAACCCCCCGCTGTTCGGGCGGCCCCGAACTGCCGCCAATGGGCGGGCGCCCTCCCGCCGCGGCAGCGCCCGTTCGCGCGCCACCTCTGCCGCCGCGGGCGGAGGGGGCACTCGACGGGGGGGCGCGCCCTCGCTGAGGCGCGGGCCCTGGGGGGCTTTGCAGGGCCACGGGGCCGCGCGCGCGCAATCTGTCTGATCGTAGCACGGTCGGGACAGCAGGGCCGCCGCACGTCTCGCAGCCGCTCGCCGCTCGAGGGCCGAGGCCGCGCAGGCTTCCAGCGCGGCGCACCTGGGCACACCCCGCAGGCCGCCCCCTCTCGAGGCGTGCAGGCCTCGCGGCAGGCCTCACGGGCATTCGCATTCATCCCCATTCTACCGCCATCGCACCGCTACTAGGGCTCATCGAGGACAGGGCCCGGCATGCCAGCGCGAAAGTGCACCCTGTTTCGCGCCCGACGCGCGCGGCCAGTTCGGATCAGGCGCTCGGCCGTTGAGAAAGAACCCACCCAGAATGACCACCCCGGGGCGTCGAGTTCCGGGGAGTGGCAGGCGCCCTGCGTAGTTACACGGCCTCGGGCACCGCTGCCCACGAAATGGACGCCACCGTCACTTCATGCATCCCCGCGTTGCTGCTATCGCAGCGCTATCCGGGTTTCTCGGCGATAAGTGTGTACATCTATATATACATATATGTATATATGCACTATATAAATATAACATACATACATATATACATACATACATACATACATACATGCATGTGGTTCGGATGTCTAGGGCCAGCGCCGCGTTTCGGAGATCCCCTGGATGTTTAGCGAGTTTGGGATTTGATCTAGAAGTGGAGTTCAGGAGGAGAGAAAGATCAGAGGTGATCGAGAGCTCCGTCTGTAGTCCATCGTGGTTCATGAGATACAGAGATGGTAGCGGAGCTGGACTAGCTCCAGCCCCCAGTCCCGCTACTCTTTGCACCCGCGCGCCAGCGCGCGCGATGGCCGCCGCCGACGGCCCGACAGAACGAGACGACGGAGTTCGGCACGACGAGCTCCGCAACTGAGACCCACGAGTATTGGATACAGGTGGGCATCGAAGGCGACTGGCAGCGGACTATATTGAAGCTGATTCGGTTCAGCCGCTTGAAGGGTCACTGGCGCGAGTTCGGTCAATACTTGAACTACGTAAAGAATCACAGGAGAGCAGAGCGGTTCGGTCTTCGAGATGGCGCCCAGCCAGGGAACGTTCAACGAGATGCGCGACGCAGCGCAGCAAGATCGACAGGACATACACGATCCACGGCAACAGAAAGCCGCGCCCCAGCGACAAGCAGACCAGGCCGGAGAGCCTGAGATCATCAGACGGCTCGGCGAAGTGCTCGAGCGAATTGCAGCGCCGCCGCCGCCGCCGCCGGCCCAACTTGAATGACATTGGAAAGCCACAGGCCTTCAAGAATGAAGAGTCGAAGTTCAGCGAGTGGCTCCAGGAGCTCAACAGCAACGTGCCCAGCGTATTCGGCGCGAACTTCCGGCCGGTGATCGAGCGGGCGGTCGACCAGGCGAACGACACGGTCACGCCCACCACAGCCGCTGCGGTGGAACAGTTAGTGAACGAGGCCGAGGACGGCGAGGCAGTCGACAAGGTGGACGAGAAGCTCTCGCAGCTCTACGCGGTGTTCTTCTCGCTCACGGAGGGCGAGTCCTTCGGCCTGGTGGTCAGCGCAGGCCAAGGCAATGCAGATGAAGCCCTACGATTGCTGGTGCGGCGTTGGGGCCCTAGCAGCGGCGGTCGCCGCCGCGCGCTGCTCAAGAAGATCACGGCGCCGGCCAGGGTCGCGAAGCTCGATAACTTGGCCCGCAGAGGCTGCGAAATGGGAAGTGTTGGTCAGGCGCCACGAGAGGCGCCGAGCCGACGGACGAGACGCACACCTAGACGACGAGATCAAGATGAGTGCGCTCGAGAGTCTCGCGCCGCAGGACGTCGAGATGCACCTTGCCCTCAGCCGCACCAGGCTCCAGGACTACACATCGATGCGCGAAGAAGTCAGGGGCTCCCTGGAGACCAGACAGGCTCAAGGAGCCCTTGGCCGGTCGAGAGGCGATCCGACGGAGGTCGACGCGTTCGTCAGAAGAGGCGACGGCAAGGGCAAGCACGGCAAGGGCAAGGGCAAAGATGACAAGGGCAAGACCGGCAACGGAAAAGGGAAGACGGCCAACGCGAACGTGACTTGTTGAAACTGCCGAAAGAGGGGCCATCGCGCACAGGACTGCTGGAGGCCCACCGAGAGAGGAGGTAAGGATGACAAAGGCAAGGGCAAAGGTACGGCAAGGATCCGAAGGGCCAGCGCTTCCAACAGCAAGGCGTTCGCCGAGGCTACCTCAACAACTTCGAGGGCGACACGCAGAGCACGATCAGCACGCAGCGACCGGCATCGGCCTCACAGGCCGGCGTATGCAACCAGTCACCCGCCGCGCTCAGCTTCGACGCCTTCGAGCGCGTGCTGGAGCTGAACAGCGTGGAGGTGAAGGACGAGAAGCAGTACAGGAAGTGCATCACGATGACGTTCGACACCGGCGCCGCTGCCACGGCCTTCCCGCTCGCTGCCACGGCCTTCCCGCTCGAGCAGGAGGGCGAGTACACCGAGGCCGACGGCAGCTCACACCGCGCAGCCACCGGCGAGATCGTAGAGGACGAGGGCGGCGTCGGCATCAAAGGAGTGTCGGAGCACGGCGAGAGTATGTTCCTGAAGGACAGGCGCGCGAACATCGGCAAGCCGCTCCTGTCCGCCTCGGCCACCGCCGCCAAGGGCCACTTCACGCGGGTCAACGCCTTCGGCGGCTACATCTTGAAGGAGAGCGAGTTCACGCAGAAGATCCACCAGATGATCGACCAGTGCGTGGCTGAGGGCAACGAGGGCATCGTGACGCTGCACTTGCAGAACGGAGTCTACAAGATGGACGTGCTGATGGACCAACCTGCCGGTGCCACTTCGTCGGGGTCGGCCTCTGTCGCCGATCTCTGTCCGCGGGCGCCGGCGAGCGCGGACCCTCAGTGGCAGGCAACGGCCCCGCGGGAGGCGCGAGCGCCTCGGAGCCGCCGGAGTCGCCGGCAGCGGGACCGCCCGCAAGACCACCAGCGGCAGCGCTAGGGAGTAGAGATCCCGCTCCCCAGCCGGCTGCAGTACGAGAAGGGATCGGAGACGGCGAAGACTATGACGGCAATCCTCAGGAGGTTGCACCAGCGAAAGTGCAGTGACGAAAGCGACTACTTACTCGAGCTGAAGTCGATCAACACGAGGCTACAGGTCACGCCGCATTTCGAGATTGGTGTGAAGTTCGTTGTGCAGCTCGAGGGCTTGGCCAACCTCATGAGCTACAAGCTGAAGCTCGCGAAGGTGCAGATCCGGTTGCGGCCATCGACTTCGCGTTCATGGGCGAGAAGACCGGCGAGGAGGACGAGGGCCAGGAGGACAACTTCCCGATGCTGGTGGCCAGAGATTCTAAGACGAAACTGCCTTCATCGACAGCGATTCCGGGTAAGAAGGTCACCAACTTCATGATCAATATTCCGATGAGCTTCATCCTGCACCTCGGCTACCGCAGGCTGATCTTCCTGAGCGACGGGGAGCCCGCGATCGCGGCGCTCAAGACGGCGGTCGCGGTGGCGACGCCGACGGTGGAGTTTCTGCCTCGAGAATCGCCAGCAGGCGAGCACCAGAGCAACGGAGGCATCGAGGTTACCGCGCGAGAGGTCAAGAGGCAGGTCAGGGCGAACAGGTACGCGCCGGAGGCCAAGCTCGGCAGGAAGGTGGATGATGACCACCCGATCTTGAAGCGGCTGCCCCAGTACGCCGCGGCCTGCATTGGCCGGTACCGACGCGGAACCGACGGCCTCACTGGAGAACAGCGGCGTTCGGGCCGCGACTGGAGGAAGCTGGAAGCAGAGTTCGGCGAGCGGGTGATGCACGGGCCGCTCGCGCCAGGAGGTCGCAGGAGTACCATGGAGGAGCGCGCGATGTCCGGGAACTTCCTGGGCTACCACATGCGGACGGGGCCCTGCTCGTCATGACGGTTGACGGCGCGGAGAAGGCCCAAGGTTTCAAGAAATTGACGAAGGAGCAGGCCTGGGACGGCAAGGACTGGGCAGCTCTTCGAGGAGTTCCCTGGGCGAGTCGCCCGGAGGAGGAGGCGCCCGCTCTGGCGAGAGCGCCGGTGGCGGCTACCGTTCGGATGGAGCCGCGAGCCCCGCGAGCGAGGGACGTCCTGCGCCGCGACATCGAGAAGTATGGTGCCACTGCGGGCTGCCCAGGATGCCTGGTGCTGACGCAGAAGGGCAAGATCACGAAATCCCACAGCGACGAGCGCCGCAACCGGATCGCAGAGCTGATGATGGGTAACGACGAAGATCGAGTACGAGTTATCGAACACCACTTTCGAGCCGGAGATCAAGCAGCACGCGGTCGAGGTGTTCGAGGTCAAGAAGCAGCTGGAGGAGACCAAGCTGCCCTACCGCCGCCCGCTGGGGACGGCGATCGAGCTCCTGCCCCAGAGCCGAGGGGCACCGAGGTGGCGGCGGTGCCGGCTGGAGGCGGTGCCAGCGAACCGAGCGCTGCCAGGAAGCGCCGAGGAGACGCACCCGAACCTGGACGAGCTACCCGGGCACGAGGCGATGCGAGAGGAAGCCCAGCACTTGCAACTGCTGAAGCTCGGCTCGCGCTCAAGCGAGCGGCGCCCCAGGAGGAGGCGCAGATGAACGTGGAGGACCTGGTCGACACAGCGATGTCCCAGGCAGCGTCATCAAGCTCAGCATCGGCATCGGCTTCGAGACCGAGCCGGGCTCCAGATGGATCGATGGACGTCGATTCCCTGGAGCGGATCAACGGCTACGACAAAGGCCACACGTTTGTCATGATATACGAGCTGGCGGTGTTCCAGATGCGGACGAACGCCAACGTGAACGACGCAGAGCAGGCGGAGGAGATCGCGCCACTTCTTACCGAGATGTGCGCAGTGGACACTGCGGAAGTTTATTCGCCGAGAAGATTTGCAGAGATGACGTTCAGGTATGGCCTCACGTACGGCCTGGCAGTGGATATCGACACTGGCTGGGATCTGCGATTGCCCGAGCAGCGAAAGGAGTGCAAGAAGCAGCTGAAAGACGAAGACCCGCTGCTGACGATCACCAGCCCCCCGTGCGCGCCATTCAGCAACTTGCGTACGCTCTCGGACTCATAGCGAGACCCGAGGATCGTGGAGGCGGAGATCCTGGAGGGCGAGACGCACCTCGACTTCAGCAGGGAGATCTGCAAGGAGCGCCACAAGGCAGGGAAGCTATTTCTTCACGAAGCACCTTGGTCAGCGAGCAGCTGGTACCGCCCAAGCGTTCAGGAGGTCATGCAGTTGGCAGGCGTATTCTTAGTCCATGGACCTATGTGCCGCTGGCACATGCAGGCGACCGACTCCAACGGAAAGTTGGGCTTCGTTCGGAAGGAGACCGGGTGGCTCACTAACAGCGAGCTGCTCGCCGAGATCCTCAAAGGCTACTGTCGGTGCCCCAGGGGTCCGAACGGAGAACTCGTTCGCCATGTTCATTTGGTTGACGGACGCGCCAAACATGCACAACGATGCCCTCCGAGCTTGGTGGCAGCTATTCTCAAAGGCCTACGAGAGTAGCTTCGACGATGTGAAGGGCTCAACCTAGTTGCAGCTCTCTGTGGAGGACCACACCCACATGAAGAAGATACTGAGGTGTTCGCTGAGTACCAGGACGACTACTTCATCGACGATCTCACGGGCGACATTCTGGATTCCGAGGGCGCGCAAGCCGCGTGGCAAGAAGAACTGGATTGGTGCCGCGGGAGGCAGGTATGGAAGAAGGTACCTAGACGCGAGATGCTCGAGAACGGCAAGAAGGCAGTGACCCTGAAGTGGATCGACACGAACAAGGGCGACCGAGGTCAACCACGGTATCGCTCGAGGCTGGTCGCGAGGAAGATTAGGAAAGCGATGAGGTCCGAAGATCGACCAGATCAAGCTGAACTATTCTCGGCCATGCCCCCGCTGGAAGCGTTCAAGGCGATGGTGGCCATCTTCGTCGGCCGCGTGAACGACGCCTACCACGACGGCGACACAGAGGAGATCATTTACAAGTTTTACGACATCTCAAGGGCGCACTTCTATGGAGATGTGAATCGCGAGGTGTATGTGGAGTTACCCGAGGAGGAGACCAACGACGATCCAGAGCCCATGGCGGGCAGGCTACTCAAGACAATGCATGGCACAGTGGATGCAAGTCATGTGTGGCAAGACGACCACATCGGCCTGACAAGCTCGCACGGCCTCAAGAAGGGCGCCTCGAACCCAGCGCTGCTGCACCACGCCGAGCGTCATATACAAGCGGAGGTCCACGACGACTTTGGCGTGATTATGCGCAAGTCCCAGGAGGGGTGGTTCGATGACGCGCTTTCGCGCCACGACTTTGAGGTCACGGGTATTTGTGAGCAGCAGGCCCCTGCAGGAACAGAGCGTGGTTTATCTCAACCGGGTGTTGATCTGGAACCCCTTCGAGCGCTTGGCCTACCTCGAAGCGGACACCCGGCACGTGAAGAAGGTGATCAGGGACCTGGGCTTGGAGAACGCGAAGGAGGTGACTACCCTGGTTGTCAAGTGGTCTGTCGCGGAGATCCAGAGTAGTAACCAGACCTCGCCGAAGTTGGACGACGAGAAGATGAAGACCTACCGCAGCGTGACCATGCGAATCATGCACCTGAGTCTGGACCGGCCCGAAATCAGCTACAGCGCGAGCACGCAGGCTAGACGCACGAAGGAGCCGAAGGAGACCCACATGGAGGATTCGAAGCGCATCGGCCGCTACCTGAAGAAGCACCCCGCTGGAAGGTCGCTGTTTCCCGCTCAGAGGCTGCCCAGAAAGGTCGGCGTTTACTGCGACAGCGACTACGCGGGCGATCCGATTACGAGGCGCCCCCGAAGTGGAATGGCCATTCTATGGGGGGCGCATCTGCTGAAACATGGCAGCACGGTCCAATCCACGGTGAGTTTGAGCAGCGGCGAGGCCGAGTACTATGCACTACTGCGTGGAGCCTGCCACGGTTTTGGAGCACAGGCCACCTTGGCCGACCTGGGAGTCGAGGTGGACTACGAGATGGAGCTTTACATCTTCAGCGATAGCTCAGCCGCGAGAGGAATTGCAAGCCGACAGGGACTGGGAGCTGTTCGACACTTGGATGTTCGATTTCTGTGGCTGCAGGAACGTATTCAGAGTAAAAGGCCGTGGCTGAAGACGGCCGATGGGCACTGGAACCCGGCGGACCTGTTCACGAAGGCCCTCGACCAAGACACGATGGAGCGGTTGATGAAGCTGATCTGCTTCACGATGAAGTTCGACGGTAGCGTGAGGCACCGTGCGTTGCGATGCATGACGCCGGTTGTTTGCCGGCGCACGTCTCGTGAAAAATGATCGAGGCGCTGGTTTCGTCGTGGGTTTTCGCCCTCCGCCTCCGCCCAGTCGTGGCGACGAAGGCCGAGGAGGGGTGTTCGGATGTCTAGGGCCAGCGCCGTGTTTCGGAGATTCCTTGGAACTTAAGTGACTTTCGAGTTTGATTGAGAAGTGGAGTTTAGGAAGAGAGAAAGACCAGAGGTGATCCAGAGCTCCGTCTGTAGTCCATCGTGGTTCAACAGATAGAAAGACATATATATATATATATGTATATATAGACCCACAGATATATAGAGTGCGCAAAAAATGTTAGGACAAAATGTATGGCGCGATAAATGTTGCGCAAACTAGATTATGCAATCGACGGTGGGCAGTCCATGTGGAGTAATATACATATAGCTACAGATGGTGGGTTTTGCGCGGCGTAAGATCGGCTGTGAAAATCACGTTGCTCAATGTATGTTAAGCAACTAATGGGTTGTAACCTACGTGGGCCATATGTGCGTGAATATGTATAGCTACACTGCGTAAGAGACGCTGCGCCATCGATTTTGCACAATACATGTGTTGCCGTCTCTGTGGAGCAACCTAGTTGGTCAGTCTGCGCGGTGCAATCCGCGGCGCGCAGTGAATTATGTTGTGCGACTCTTTCTTCGGCGCATTGCGCGTGGATCCGCGCACGCGGCGCGCGCCATCAACGCGGCGCAGTCGATGCGATGCGATGTATACGCGGCGCAGCTAGTTTTTGTTTCGCAGCAAGTTGCCCACTCCACTTCTCGCGCAACCATCCTACACACACCACACACACACGCAGCTTGGTCTGCAAACCCCACGCGGCGGCGATTGCGACGAGGGCTCGGGGTTGGCTCGCGCATTTCTGCGGCCGCGCTAGCCCGCGCATGCTCGCGCGCGCGGCGGCCCGATAGTTCGGCGCCACCGACGCGGCCGCGGCGGCGCTGCCCGGTGGGCACATCCCAGCGGTCACTTCAGTGCGAGTCGATGATGTTGCCGGGCGCGGCATCGCGGCAACGTCGACAGCTGTAGACGCGATGGCGAGGGTTGCGACGCTGGCGACGACGGCGACATCGACGACGACAAGGCCAGCGACGGCGCCGATGCCGATCACGACGGCGACGATGACGGCGCACTCGCGCGGGCGATGAAGGTTTTGGAAGGAGTTCGGCTTGCGCGCGCGGCCGACGCGCGAGAGTGGCCCGCACGGCATTATTGGACACGGATCGCGCCCCGCCCCACCCCCCAGCACGCGCGCAAGGGCGCCCGAATGATTGCGACGTGCGGCGCGAGGGGCCCACTGGGCCGAGTCGGCTGAAAATGCGGTAAAACCGATCTCTTAAACATTTGCAGGAGCGCGAGCGCGGGCACTTTTGAAAACCGACGGTACAAAACCACGAGTTTGCCATATGCTTCCGGGGCATTCGCTTTTGAAACCCTTGCGAAACGCTTGGTTTATGAAAAATGTTTCGCCTGCGCGCATGCACTTCGCCCCGTTCGTTGCAATGGATTCTCGCCACAACGCGCGCGCAAGGGCGCTCGAACGATTCCGACATGCGCGCACGAGAGGCCATTTATGTAGCACGTTATGAAAATGTTGAATCACCTTTTCTGGTTTCCTTGAATTCACAAGAGCCCGAGCGCAAGTTTGTTTTGAGAGTTCGCGCTGCGAGACCGTGCGTTTTAAATGTGGCTTCGGGGCGCTCGATTTCGAAATCCCCACGAGAGAGACCTGGATGTGCAAGGATTTCGAAATCCTCAAGAGACCTGATGTTTCATGGATTTATGGACATTTGTTTTACACATTAGAAAATCGAACCACATGGTTTGCTACAAACGAGCGCGCGCACATAGATTTTCGCGGAGGATGAGGGGGGGCACCGATGCCAGCCCGGGGCGGAACGAGCTCATATCTAGGACGGGCGATGGGGCAGAAACGTACGCAAGTTGCAATACGGAAAAGGAATCGCCAATTCCGTCGGAGGGGGGTAGATCCCAATGTTCTTTTAGATCGGAGAATAGATGTTGCGCCGCATATGTGGCACGACGCATGCGGTGCAACCGACGTGGCGCAACCCAAGGTTGGCAGTATATGTTGTGCAGTATGCGTTGCGCAATGCACGCGGAGCAACCTATCTGATGCATAATTGTCGTTCGCAGCGAGTTGCCCACTCCACTGCTCGCGCAACCACCCCACCCACCCACCCGCAACGTAGTGTGCAAAACCCACGCGGCGGCGATTGCGATGAGTGCTTGGCGTTGGCTGGTGCATCTCTGCGGCCGCGCCAGCCCGGGCATGCTCGCACGCGCAGCGGCCAGCTAGCCTGGCGCGGCCGACGCGGCCGCAGTGGCGCTGACCGCTGGGCGCGCCGCAGCGGTCATTGCAGTGCGAGTCGACGACCTGGCCGGGCGCGGCATCGCGGTCACGTCGACAGCTATAAACGCGATGACGAGGGTTGCGACGTTGGCGCCGATGCTGATCACGCCGACGACGATGACGGCGCCCCCGCGCCGGCGATGAAAGTTTTGGAAGGAGTTCGACATGCGCGCGCGGCCGACGCGCGAGAGTGGCCGCATGGTATTATTTGACACGGATCGCGCCTCCAAGCACGCACGATTTCGGCATACGGCGCGAGAGGCCAGCTTGGCAGAAGTCAATGGAAATATGTTTTTCGATCAAAAAAGAAACAACACAACAGCAAAACGATGGTGTTCTTAGGAATTCGCACGAGCGCGAGCGCAGGCTTTTTTGAAAATTGATGTTGCGAAACCATATGTTTTATGATTTCGGGACATTCGGTTTTGAAGGCCGAGCGACACCAAAGGTGCTTGAATGATTGTGGCATGCGCGCGCGACGACGCGCGTGCGCGTGCATTTCGTCCGGTTGTTTTTTGAAAAAAGTTTCTTGCGACAGCACGCGCGCAAGGGCGTTCGAACGATTTCGACATGCGCACGCGCGCGAAGCCCGCTTGGTACCATGTTACGAGCACGTTGGGAGAGAACCCCCCCAACAAAAATTAGAATTCGCAGGAGCGCGCGCGCAAGCTCTTTGGGAAGCAGCGTTTCGAAACCATATGTTTTTTACATGTGTGTTGGACGTTCGTATTTGACATCCCTACGAAACCCCTGGTTGTTAGCGGGTCCTGGCACGCGCGCGCGACGACGCGCGCGTGCGCATTTCGTTTCATTTATTGCCAAGGATTCTTGAAAGTTTATGTGTTCTGATAAACGAGTGCGCGCGCATTTTGCAGAGGATGACAGGGGGGGATCGATGCCAGCCCCCCTGGGATGCGAATTCATACGTAGGACGGACGATGGGGCAGAATCATATGCAAATTGCAATACGAAGCGGTGTACCCTTTACTCCGGCTCCGGGAGGGTGGCGGATCTTATTCTCTTGTCAAAAAGGAAAGCTCATGTGGTGCAATCTATGTAGTGCAATATGTGTTGTGAATACATGTGGTGCAGTCGACGTGCAACACACGCTGCGCAATCTATGTGGTGCAATCGACGCGGCGCAACACATGCGGTGCAATCCACGTGGTGATGCGGTGCAATCTACGCGGTGCAATCTCACGGCGGCGACGGGGGGCGACGGGGCGGCGACGGCGGCAATAGCCGCCAGACCGACGCACATGCCCAGACGACGAGCAGCGACGAGGCGGCGACGGAACAGCGACGGCGGAACCACAGCCGCCAGACCGACGCACATGCCCAGGTGACAGCTGGCGACAGGGCGGCGACGGGGCGGCGACGGCGGCAACAGCCGCCAGACCGACGCACAGGCTTAGTTCCATAGAGCAGAGGCACGAAACCCTACGTGCAAGCATCCTCTATCGAATTTGCACCTCTACACACACACATGTACTGAAAGAGAGAGAGAGAGAGATAAAAAGAGAGAGAGAGAGAGAGAGATGTGCACCTATGTATATGTATATATGTACATAAATTACGCTACCGAGGAACCCCACATACCTATTTTATTTCCTGCGTGTACCATCGGTGCTTCTGCTGCTGCTCCTCCTTTTCCTCCTCAGTGTCCTCCTCCTGCTGCTGCTTCTGATGCTGTTGCTGCTTATGTTGCTGCTGCGTCTGCTGCTGCAGCTGCTGCTGCTGCCGCTGCTGCTGCCCCACCTCCCCGTCCTCCTCCTCCTCCTCCTCCTCCTCCTCCTCCACCTCCTCCTCCTCCTCCTCTTCCTCCGCATAGGGCCCCCACCTCCCAGCGCACCCCCTGTGGCGTCGAGGAAATGCCACGCCTGCCACGCCCTGGGAGCCTACAGCGCATAGGGCCCCCACCCCCAGCGCACCCCCTGTGGCGTCGAGGAAATGCCACGCCTGCCACGCCCTGGGAGCCTACAACGCATAGGGCCCCCACCCCAGCGCACCCCCTGTGGCGTCGAGGAAATGCCACGCCTGCCACGCCCTGGGAGCCTACAACGCATAGGGCCCCCACCCCCAGCGCACCCCCTGTGGCGTCGAGGAAATGCCACGCCTGCCACGCCCTGGGAGCCTACAACGCATAGGGCCCCCACCCCCAGCGCACCCCCTGTGGCGTCGAGGAAATGCCACGCCTGCCACGCCCTGGGAGCCTACAACGCATAGGGCCCCCACCCCCAGCGCACCCCCTGTGGCGTCGAGGAAATGCCACGCCTGCCACGCCCTGGGAGCCTACAACGCATAGGGCCCCCACCCCCAGCGCACCCCCTGTGGCGTCGAGGAAATGCCACGCCTGCCACGCCCTGGGAGCCTACAACGCATAGGGCCCCGCATAGGGCCCCCACCCCCTCTGTGACGTCGAGGAAATGCCACGCCTGCCACGCCCTGGGAGCCTACAACGCATAGGGCCCCCACCCCCAGCGCACCCCCTGTGGCGTCGAGGCAATGCCACGCCTGCCACGCCCTGGGAGCCTACAACGCATAGGGCCCCCACCCCCAGCGCACCCCCTGTGGCGTCGAAGGAATGCCCTGTGTGCTATGCTGTGCTGTGCTGTGCTGTGCTGCTGTGCGG